GCCGGCTTCTGGACGGCCACACACAGCAGCTGCTGGCCGCTCACACTGGCTGCTGGCCACAAACGGTAGCCCATGGCAACCCACTGCAGCAGTGGCTGCAGCCTACGCTGTCGCTGGTGACTCATGGCAGCCCAGCTCCAGGTCGAGCTGCTGTTCAGCATCTTAGCTGTGGAGGGCAGTGTCACTGGCCCTCATATGTGGGATCCGAACCGGGGCCCTCTGGCGTCCCAAGCCAGCTCTTAACCAATGCGCCACTCGGCCGGCCCATGGGTCAGAGTTTTGAGGGTTTTAGAAAGGAAGAATGCCGATAACTAATGTTTGTATAGCGCCTTCCAGATCAAAAGCATGTGCTTCACACAAGTGTTATTTATTCCCGCCTCAGAAAATCCCTTTGGTAGGCGGGCAGGAGCAATGACCCAATGTTCCTGGGATGACGTCCTGACATGGTACCTGACACGCGGGCCCCATGTCGTCTCTGTGCTCTGCCCAACTCGAAGCCTAGTTATCTGACATCCCTCATTTAAGGACATGCTCAGTGACTGTTTATTGTTTAATAAAACAGATTTTGACACGTTGCTTTCACATGTGGTTGTAGTGACGCAGGACAGGACAGCTGTTCTGCGTTTGGTGGCTCGTCCTGGCTAATCAGCCCCACTGTCCCTCCATGCCCAGCCGTCAGTGGGGGTATGGTTTCAACCTAGCTGCCCGGGACTTAACCTTCCATCGGGGAGCTGGCCTGTTGCCTCAGATTCTTCTGGACAAACGGAAGTGTTGGAGAAGAGGGGATTTAAGGGCCCTGGCCCAGGCTCAACAGCCCTGATCGAAGCTGTAGCCGAGCATGGTGGCCTGTCCAGTGCTCTGAGGACCAGGACAGCAATCACTAGAGGGAGCCCTGACACCCCTCTGTCACCTGAATCTTGTAGACACACTGTCTGCCTGTCAGCCTGGCTGTGCACAGCCCCTCTCCACAAGGTGCTGTCTCTGGTCCCCATGTGAGGTGACAGCCATACTCAGCTTGCCTCTGGGTGGTCCCCAGCACACCATTCACTGGCTGCTCTCCACAAGCCCCCCAGTCCTCCCTGCAAATCATGACATTCCTTTCTTTAGGCCCGTGGGGATCTGATTCAGGAGGTCGGGTGGGACTGAGATGGGTTGGGAAATGCAGGTATGACAAGAGCCGATGACAGCAGCACAGGAGGGCAGCGAGCTGCACTGAGAAACGCTGCTGGAGGCACGATAAGGGAGGCCAGCGGGTCCAGGAACAGCAGTTGGACCACTAAGCACTCCAGCCAAGGATCCCCTCCAGGCCCCATTGCTCACACACTTCCCCTTGTCCTCGAATCCCCCACAGCCGGCCACCTTCCATATCAGAATGTTTGTCTACCCCCGGGCGTCTGGCCAGTGCAGGGTCCGCTCGTGTCCTGAGGCCTCTTACCTGTTGGGGTTGGGGAGGTGACTCCAGCCAGACAGAAGTAGCCAGGGGAGCAGAGCCCAGAGGGGGCAGTGAGGCCAGATGCACCACAGAAATGGCCAGAGGGGCAGGCCAGGCACTCAGAAGCCTTGGAGAGAAATATCCTGGGGAGACAGAGAGAAAATGGGGGTCAGTGGGACCAGGAGGCTCCTAGGGTGGAGGGGCCACATCCTGGCAAGGGACATAGGAGAAGAGGAGCAGGTTCCTCTTGCTTACAAGGAGTCCAGGAAGGGGTGGCAGGCCTCTCTCTTCTCTCTCTCTCTCTCTCTCTCTCTCTCTCTCTCTCTCTCTCTCCCTCCCTCCTACTCCCCTTCCATCCCCCCAAGACAGGCACCTGGTCACAGTCCTTTTCATCTTAATCCCCAGTTTAAACTCAGGCTGTCCAGGGCCCCAGGCCCCCAGGCCTGGCAGCTGCAGTGGAGCACCTGACAGCCCTTCTGCCACCGGCCCCAGAGCTGACCCCTTGCTCTGGGGTGCCTTCTCATGGGGACTGGGAGGTTCCTGAAGGTGGGGAGTTGGGCTCTGCTCTCCAATGGGACACAGGCAGGCATGTGGGATTCCTGATGGCGTTGCTTCCTCGGCCATGACATGCTCTCTAACTCCTAGCACCCACATCACCTGCCCTATTCTGGCCAGCTGGTCAGGGACTTGTAGCCTCACAGGCCAGGTGGAGTCCCTGTTCCAGAAGGCTCATGTTCCCTGGTGACAGAGTGATGTGGTAAAATGGTCAGCCTGGGCAGGAGGACCAGGAAGTAGGCAGCTTGGGCTCACCCCTTGGGCCTGGGGGCACTCACCGGTCTGAGAAGGTGCCCACAGGGCAGGGGAGGGGCATCCCCGTGCCCACTGGACAGAAGTGGCCTCGAGGGCAGGGTCCCCCTGCTGTGGCTCGGATGTCTCCATCAGGATGGGTAACCTCAGCTCCTGGCCCAAATCAGGAGTGGGTGAGATCACAGACAGCCCCTCCCCGGCCCAAAGGCAGCCCCTGCCTCACCCGCCCTCTGCAGTAGGTCATCTCCCAGAATAAGATCTGGAAAGCTGGAGTGACAGCACCCTGAATTGCCAAGGCAGCTCTCAAGTCTAGATTCCCACCCAACCCTGACCTTCATAGGGACAGTGGGTGGGGTCCCAGGTGCAGGGTGAGGGGGCCTGAGATGTGTCCCCTTCTGAATTAGAGGCTATCTGGGCAGGATCCTGCTAGGACTCCAAGGGAAGGGAGAAAGTATGGGGGTGCCATCACTGGCCTGTCCTGGAGAAAGTTGGGCACAGGAGCGGGGCTCCAGGCCCAGCTCGGGAAGGCCTCTGTGACATTTTCTCATCTTGGCCAAGCTTGTTTCTATTTGTACCATGCCCCTTACGGTTTGCTCATGTCCCCTGGGATGAGGTAAGACACATAATTATACTGAGAATAAACTCTGAGGAGAAGGAACCTTGTATTGTTATCGGAGGACAAAGAATGAGTGATACGTGACTTGTTTTTGTGACTGTCCCCAAGGCCAGCAGATTTGTCTGTGGAAGTGTGCATGTGTGCAGAGCATAGGAAACGTGCAACTCTAGGGACACTAATGTGACAAGGGGAGGATGAGAAATTGCTTCATGTCATGAGAACTCTTGGGACAAGGGAGGGCTGGGGTTGGGGGATGTGGCCCTGAGCTCTCTGAGGGGCACAAGTGCCACCTGGCAGCCCCCCAGCAGTCCTGGAGCTTCACACATAGGCATGGTTCCAGCCCTAGCCACAAAGAACATGCATGGGTGGCACCAAGGTCCTGTGGGCAGGGTCTTAGGAGAAGCAGGACCTTGACGGGCTTTGGTAGGGTCACCACAAGCTGAACCCAGTCTTGTCATTGGAAGAAGGACGTGGTAGGAAGTCCTGCTCCTGAGGCTCCCCAGTCTGGAGCTTCTCCAATTCATGATCTCATGGCCCCCTTGCTTAGCTCTGTACTTAACAGCTGGCCCACCAAGAAGTCCCTTGCTGCTGGCCTGGGGAGACCAGCACAGCAAGGGACTGGCCTGCAACGCCCCCACTCTTCAAGGAGGAAGGCGGCCCTGCAGGAAGCCCCGGGTCACAGAGTGCATCCTTGGTCACCCAGATCCACGCCGAGCCCCTTGCCTCCACCATGGAAGCTGTGCTGTGGCCACTTCTCAGGCTCACTCAGGGTAAGTGTTGATTTATTGCCCTTCCCATGCTCTGTCTTACTTAGCATTTGCTCAGTATCACACCTTCCTATACTCTCAGTGTTCCTATGGGGCACCTGAGGAACCAGAGACAGTCCCCCAGTAGGGAGGGTGCCGCCGGAATCTGGCCAGTCGCAAGGCCCCGTCCCTAAGCCTGTCCGCAGGGCCTCCTGACCCTGGTCCAGCAGGAGAGCTTCCCAGTGAGCTCTGCTCCTCAGTCCCCAAGACGCAGCCTTGACCTGTCCCAGGAGAGACCCCTCTGCCCCCTCTGTCTCTTCTTCTGCAGGACATGGCTGGCAGCGCTGGGCCCGGCTTCCTCCCTGCCGTGAACTAGATGTGTCTGGAGGGCAGGGCAGGGGTGGGCAGCCAGGACCTGGGGGCAGTAACAACCAGGGGGGTAGGTTTTTGGTGTGGAAAGCAAAGTGGCTTTGCCTTCCTAGGGCCTTACCCACCCCATGCTGTGATGGTTTCCATAGCAACACTGCTCTACTTTCTGGTGCAGCCCAGGTACCTGAGCCATTGCTGTGCTGCCTCTCCGGCCAGACCGTGGTCACCACTGAGCCTTCAGGGCAGGCGTGGCCCTCAGGACTGATGTCTCCCCATGGCCCACCAAGGGGTCTCGGGGTTCGTGCCCCTTCTGGGCAATAAAATCCTGGAGGCAGAGAAAGCATGCAGGCTGGTCCAGATCCCAGCTCCCTGCCTTTCTGTCCTGAAGGTCCTGCCACACCGATAATGGCTTTGATGGAAATGGGCTCTGTGGGTGTCCCAGGAGGGCCAATATTCCAGGCCTCTTTAAACCTCATCTAATCTTCACTCCCTACCCAACCCATGGATATCCCAGACCCCCTCCCCAGCCCCTGCATCCTGCAGGCCCTGGGGGGTGGTGAGGGAGTTGCCCCGATCACAGATGAGGCAGTGGTCTCTGAGGAGACGTGCCTTCTAGGGCTGAGCCAGCTAAGTCTCCTCAGCCTCAGGGACACTACATCCCTCCCTTGTCCCCTGCCCTCTCCTTCTTCCTCCCCCTTCGTCCAGGGGCTGGGATAATCCAAGTGGCTTGTTTGTACCCCCTACCACATTTAGAAGCCCCACCAGTGGCCTCTGGCCTGCCTCCCTCCTATTGCAGCCAAGCCGGACGTGGGCTGGACACACCTCCTCTAGGCTCTGTCTAACAGGCCTCTGCCTCAGGGCTGAGGCGGGGTGGCAGGGCCAGGGCTGAGTGAAAGGCCTGGACACCCTCTACTTGGTGCTACTCCTGTCAGGCTGCCGGGGGTGAAGACAAGGGGGCCTTCACCTGGTGCACACGGTCCCCTGGGGACAGCTTGGCCCGCTGTGGCACAAAAAAGCCCCGGTGGGCAGGGCAGGCACCAGCTCACGTCCGGTGCCCCTCTCTCTGCATTCCAGGTGCCAACTGGACAGGGCCTTTGCCTGGGGTCCTCGGTGCCAGCTGGGCAAAAATGGCCAGGGGGGCAGAGGTCACCAAAGGGGAGTGTCTCCTGGAGGAAGAGGAGCCTGTCAAAGCTTAAAAGTCAAGAGTGGGCCAGCCGAGTGGCTCAGTTGGTTAAGAGTTGGCTTAAGAGCACAATCTCTGAACAACAGGGCCGCCAGTGCAATTCCCACATGGGCCAGTGACGCTGCGCCTGAGCTGAGCTGTCGCTGAGCTGTCAACAGGTGGCAGGATGGCTCAGCTGGTGTAACAACAAGATTGCCTGTTTGATGGTGGGCTATGACCACCTGTAACTAAGACTGAACTCAGCACCTTGAGCTGAGCTACCACCCGGATGGCTCAGCGGATAGAGCGTGCGCTCTTAACAAGGCTGCTGGTTCGACTCCCGCATGGGATGGTGGCTACGCCCACCCACAACTAAAGACTGAACACAGCCTCTTGAATTTAAAGGCCACAAGTTGCCAACAGGAAGCCAGATGGCAACTGGCGCTCTCCACAATAAGAACTGAAGAACAACAACTTGGCTGGTCCCCCTCCCCAATTCCCCAACAGTGTTCCCCTCCCCCAATTCCCCAATAAAATCTTTAAAAAAAAGTCAAGAGTAAGGGGGTTCACTCCACCGGAGTCTCCCAGTCCTCCCTGAACCCCCTCTGAGGCGGCCTGCCTGGCCACTCCCACTCGTTTACACACACTGACCGGGCACTGACACCGCCCTCTGGGAACCACTCTGGGAGTTTAACTTTTCAGAAAAATGAAACCAATTGTAATGCTGAGTAGCCTAAACAATCCCAACTCTCTGCCTATATGCTGGAAGTATTGATACACAGCTTTACGGTAAGGTACATCTGTCTGCATATCATCCGCCTATCATCTATCAATCATCTATCTATCTATCTATCTATCTATCTATCTATCTATCTTCTCCCTCTTATCTATCACTGATTATTTATTTATGTATCAGCATGGAATACCTACTCTTCATTAATAGTTACCTAGCATCCAACTGTGGGTCAATATGCCATATTTCTGCCTAAATATTTTCCTGTTGCTGAGGCTTTGTGATGTTTTGTGTTTGTTTTGTTTTGTTTTTGCTATTAAAATTGATGGTGGTGTGAACATCTTCACATAGGTGACATTTTTTCCTGTTCCAGGTTCTTTCCCATTTTGGAATTATTGGGTCAAAGAGTGTGGGCTGCCTGCCTAGTATACATGACATGATGGGAATGGACTCTGTTCCCTCACAGTGTCTTCTTGGGCTTCAGCTGGCCGTTGTGTCTACTTTTGATGAACAGTAGATGCAGAGTGTACAGAAATGGCTTTGCTTCATGTGTCCTTACTTGTCAGCCCAGATGAGCCTTTTCTAGCTGATGACATAGTTGTATTTGGTCCCTTTGCAGGTGGAAGCTAGAAAGTGGCCTTAGATTCTCTGTTCACGTTTGTTGGCCATGGTACAGTGCTACCACCTGTCCCATCTGGGGTTCTCTGTCACCCGACTAGGCAGTGAACTCCACAGGGCAGCTCTGGGCCTTGGTGCTCTGTTGTGTTCCCCGCCCATGCCCAGGCCTCAGTACTTAGGCCAGCCTATTCTGGGAGGCCCAGTGGGGCCTGCACTCACGGGGGAGGAGGTATTGGAACCGGGCCCACAGTGATGTCCAGCACGGCACTGCCCCTGGGGCTCAGCCAGGCCTTCTCTGCCACAGAAACTCCCAGGGCGGCACAGCTGGCAGTCTTCCACACGGGCAGCCCCAGAGGTGTCTCGAAAAGTGCCCTGGGCAGACAGAAGGACTCCCATGAGGTAAAGATCCTGGAGGCCAGAGTCAGGACTCTGCCAGGAAGGGAGCAGCACAGAGCCCCTCTACCCTTACCCTGGACCCACAGGCCAGGGAAGAGGAGATGGCCTGCTTAAGAGCTGAGCCTGCAAGACACTGGCAAGCTTGGGTGGGGTTTCCTTTTTCTTAGACCAAAAGTGTCTGAGCACAGATAAGGAATGCTGGAATTGGGACTCATTTACAGCAATTCTGATAGCGGGCAGGGAGGGAGAGTAGAGGCCACAGGACATCTGAAGGTGTATCCTGGGGAGAGAAAGCCATGGCTATGGGTGGGGTCAGTGGGGAGAGAGGGACTTCCAGAAGTTGGAGAACAAAGGTTGTACCCCAGACTGCCGCTGCCTGGGGCTTCACCTGAGCCTGGGTCCCCCAGCTCCACAAGCCCTTCCATCTTCCCGCTTCCCTCCCACCTCTACAAGCCTGGGTCACTCTGTCCCTATGGCTTTCTGGTCTAGCACCACTATCAGAAAACAGCTGCAGGGAAGTGAGTGGGGGTGGGAGATGGAGGGCTGGGGTGTCAGAGTGAAGAGATGTCACCCATCCCAACCACCAGCACGGGGGTCCATGCCCCGTGAATGAGTCCCAATTCCAGCATTCCTTAGCTGCGCTCAGACACTTTTGGTCTTCCCCGTGCGAAGTAAAGACTTGAGAAGAGCCAGGATGCTTCTCACCATGGGGCAGGGGATGGACAGTAGGCCCCGGGCTGGGCAGTAGTGCCCGGGGGGACATGCCATGGGGCCAGCCAGCTTTGTCTGGTTGCAGAGTTTTCCTCCTGGGCACTTCTGGCACCAGAGATGGCCGGGACCCTGGAAAGGGGGTTTGGGGGTGAGGTCGGCTTCTTTCTGCACCACTAACATTTAGGCAGGCACTCAGAACATGCTTAATTGAACTGGAAATGCTGCTCGCCAGCCCCAGGCTCTGTGTGCACCTCTCTCCCTCCTCGGAAAGGGCTGGGCATGCGAGTGGCTCAGACAGGGCCAAGGCCAGTAGAACCGAGGGGCTCTCCGGGCCTCTGGCTTGGCCCACAGACTGTCAAAGCCTGGAGGAAGCGGCTCCCCGCCTCTGTGACTTTAGGGTCCTCCCACTTCCAGTCCCTCTGAGGAATGAAGTCTGCTCTGGGAACACTTACTGAGAAGCTGCCAGCACCACATGGCTGTGGAGTAGCAGTGCCCAGCTTAGGGCAGTGGTGACCAGCAGGGCACAGCACACAGGCCACCGCCAGCCTTGCACCTGGACTGTGGCGGGAGGTTCCCCTGAAGGAGAGGCAGAGACAGCTGAGGGTGTGGGTGCCCACAGCCTTCCCAGAAAGAGCCGTGACAGCCACGTGGGGTCACCATTGCCCCAGCCTCATCCACAGGGTTCAAGGGTCAGTCCCAGCTGGGCAGCAGGCCCCTGGGGTAGGCTGAGGATGCGGCTGGTGTGGCCAAATGTGGCCTGTATGGGGCAGTGCATCGAGGGCGAGTTCAAAGGCAGGCTTATGGGCCGGGCCAATGGTGCTGCTTTTCAAAGTGGCCTGTTCCTCCACTCTGCTTATGTTTTCTGTTGGCTTGCTCCACCCCCCCC